GGCTAACACAGGACACCCAATCTTCTACAGCCTCCGCTCAGAACCTTGACGCACCATCCTCCTCCAGCTTAGCTTCAGGCACCTCTCAAGATACCACTCACCCGCCTGCCGCCACCACCAAAACTAGCACCACAGCCGCTTCAGTTGGTATGTCAGAGGAGTTATTCACACATCCGTTTGAAGAAATGAGTGATGCGCAACCATTATTGCCAGAGGATGTAGATAACAGGGATATGTCTCAGGCAGGCAGCATTACACACATGGACGTACGGTGTGATGATGATGATGATGTTGTACCCGCTGCTGCTTCCTTTGCTGAGTTGTCAGATACAAGTGAAGCGGTTGATGATGACGATGCGTCCATGGATGTCACGTGGGTGCCCGCTCGTCAAGAAGAAGAACAGGGCGAAAGTTCAGATGGGGAGACAGGGAGGAGGAGGAGACGAGTTGGAAGCAGGGGGAGGTCGTCGCAAGGAGCTAGTGGCACAGTCAGACAGCATGCATCGACACCCGGGGTCAGCCCGACAGCACGCCAATCAACGCATGCTGTGTCCACCACCAGAATGCCGTCATTGCAGAGCTCAGCAGTGTGGAATTTTTTTTGTGTGTCTGCCTCTGACAACAGCGATGCCATTTGCAACCTGTGCCAAAAGAAACTGAGTCGTGGGAAGTCCAACACCCACCTAGGTACAACTGCTTTGCGTAGGCACATGATCTCACATCACAAACGCCTATGGGATCAACACATGAGTACAAGCAGCTCGCCTACTCTAAGCCGCCAGCCTCCTCCTGGTCCAGCATCTTCAGCCACGTCAACCACTGCTGTCCTCCTTGTCCCCTCTCAACCATCCGCCACTCCGCCTCCCGCCTTGAGCAGTTCACGCTCATCTTCCCACAGTCATGTGTCTGTCAAGGACATGTTTGAGCGTAAGAAGACAATGTCAGAAAGTCACCCCCTTGCCCAGCGTCTGACCGCTGGCTTGTCCGAACTATTAGCCCGCCAGCTTTTACCATACAAGCTGGTGGAGTCTGAGGCGTTCAAAAAATTTGTAGCTATTGGGACACCGCAGTGGAAGGTACCCGGCCGAAATTACTTTTCGCAAAAGGCAATCCCCAACCTGTACTCAATTGTGCAAAAGGAAGTAATAGCATCTCTGGCACACAGTGTTGGGGCAAGGGTCCATTGACCACTGATACCTGGTCTGCAAAGCATGGTCAGGGCAGGTATATCACCTACACTGCGCATTGGGTAAACCTGCTGACTGCTGCCAAGCATGGAATGCATGGCTCTGCAGAGGAGTTGGTGACACCGCCACGACTTGCAGGCAGTCCTGCTGCCACCTCCTCTACTCCTCCTACTCCATCCTCTTCCATAACCTCCTCGGCTGAGTCCTCTTCTGCTGCTGCGTCTTGCTCCACATCAACGGCACACCCCCAGCTCCCCAGGTACTATTCCACATCCCGGATACGGCAGTGTCACGCCGTCTTGGGTTTGACTTGCTTGAAAGCAGAGAGTCACACCGGACAAGCACTCCTGTCCGCCCTGAACGCACAGGTGGAAAAGTGGCTGACTCCGCAGCGACTGGATATCGGCAAAGTGGTTTGTGACAACGGAACAAATTTGTTAGCGGCATTGAAGTTGGGCAAGTTGTCACATGTGCCGTGCATGGCACATGTGTGTAATCTGATCGTACAACGCTTTGTGCATAAGTACATAGGCTTACAGGACGTCCTGAAGCAGGCCAGGAAGGTGTGTGGCCATTTCAGGCGTTCCTACACGGCCATGGCTCACTTTGCCGATATCCAGCGGCGAAACAACATGCCAGTGAGGCGCTTGATTTGCGACAGCCCGACACGTTGGAATTCAACACTCCTAATGTTCGACCGCCTGCTCCAACAAGAAAAAGCCGTTAATGAATATTTGTATGACCGGGGTGCTAGGACAGCCTCTGGGGAGCTGGGAATTTTTTTGCCACGTTACTGGACGCTCATGCGCAATGCCTGTACGCTCATGCGTCCTTTTGAGGAGGTGACAAATTTAGTCAGTCGCACCGAAGGCACCATCAGCGACATCATACCATTGTTTTCTTCCTGGAGCGTGCCCTGCGAAGAGTGCTGGATCAGGCCGTAGATGAGCGTGAAGAGGAAGAGGAAGAGTTGTGGTCACCATCACCTCCAGAAACAGCCTTATCAGCATCGCTTGCTGGACCTGCGGCAACGCTGGAAGAGGATTGTGAGGAAGAGGAGTCAGAGGAGGAATGTGGCTTTGAGGAGGAGGAAGAGGAGGAGCAAGACCAACCACAACAGGCATCCCAGGGTGCTCGTTGTCACCTATCTGGTACCTGTGGTGTTGTACGTGGCTGGGGGGAAGAAAATACCTTCATTGACATCAGTGAGGAGGAGGAACGGGAAATGAGTAGCTCGGCATCCAACCTTGTGCAAATGGGGTCTTTCATGCTGTCGTGCCTGTTGAGGGACCCTCGTATAAAAAGGCTGAAGGAGAACGACCTGTACTGGGTGTCCACGCTACTAGACCCCCGGTATAAGCAGAAAGTGGCGGAAATGTTACCGAATTACAACAAGTATGAAAGGATGCAGCATTTGCAAAATAAATTGAAAAGTATGCTTTACACAGCGTATAAGGGTGATGTCACAGCACAACGGGAATCTAACAGGGGGAGAGGTGGAAGTCATCCTCCTCCTCCCATGACCACGCCGGCAAGGACAGGACGCTTTAGAGACGTGTTGTTGATGGAGGACATGCGGACCTTTTTAAGTCCTACGCATCGCCACAGCCCTTCGGGATCCACCCTCAGAGAGCGACTCGACCGACAGGTAGCAGACTACCTCGCCTTAACTGCAGATATCGACACTCTGAGGAGCGATGAACCCCTTGACTACTGGGTGTGCAGGCTTGACCTGTGGCCTGAGCTATCCCAATTTGCGATAGAACTTCTGGCCTGCCCCGCTTCAAGTGTCCTGTCAGAAAGGACCTTCAGTGCAGCAGGAGGTATTGTCACTGAGAAGAGAAGTCGCCTAGGTCAAAAAAGTCTAGATTACCTCACCTTTATTAAGATGAATGAGGGATGGATCCCGAAGGGACTGACACTGGGCGATACATTAGATTAAAAAGGCCTGATGAGATGAGCTGCCTTGGGCTAAAAATGGTCCACACGCTGCTGTATTTTAGCTCTGAATGCCTGTTGACTTGCGTGACTGATCCGCCACCAACTAGGTTTCAAGCCGCCATGTTTTAGGGCACTTTCTGCCTGTGAAACAAACATCAATTATAGATTGAATAGCAGTTAGTTATCTTCAAGCAGGTGTGTCAGCCCTACGGCGTGTACTCTGCCAGTACGCTGCCACCTCCTCTACTCCTCCTACTCCATCCTCTTCCATAACCTCCTCGGCTTAGTCCTCTTCTGCTGCTGCGTCTTGCTCCACATCAACGGATAGGGGCGTAACAGTGATTAAACTGATAACAATAGTACTAAACACACCACTCCTATCTGGTGGTACATTAGATTGCACGCGCAGTGCCCCAAATTTGTTGTGATCTGTGAGTAAGGTAAACGGTTGTCCATACAAGTAGGTTGCAGCTTTTTGAGGGCCCACACCACCGCCATGTACTCCTTTTCAATGGCAGTGAATCTACTTAGCTATGCAAAAGTTTACGGCTTAGATAAAAATCAATGCCGTGTACACGTCCACTGATAGGAGACGCGGAAGGTATTAAACTGATAAAAATAGTACTAAACACACCACTCCTATCTGGTGTCACATTAGCTTGACCGCGCAGTGCCCCAAATTTGCAGTAAGAGGACGACCAAGCCTCTTCTTCCATCTCCCTGTTACAAAAATCAATGCCGTGTACACGTCCACTGATAGGAGACGCGGAAGGTATTAAACTGAACAGTCTCTATTCTGCTCTTGCATTTCTATTTCTTCTTAGATAACGAAAAAATTCTGAGAAGACGTTGGCAGGGCTATTCACTTGTGTGATCTGTCATGAATTGTCATTTGAATGTTATTTTGAACTGTGGGGCACAAGAACTGGAATCTGACAAAATGGCTGCCATATACACGTCCACTGATAGGAGACGCGGAAGGTATTAAACTGATCAGAACAATACTAAAAACACCACAAATAAGGTTTCTCTCCTGTATGGCTCCTCAAATAATGCTTAAGATTAGAAGCGGCTGAAAAGCATTTCTCACACTCCGAACAAAAATATATTTTTTTAACATTCACTCCACTTTGAACGAAATGACGTTTGGGAAGAGATTAACTTAATTAAACACAGGCAGTAAAAATACAGTTTTTAGCCATACCCTGTAACTTTAAAACTACACATCCCATCTTCATAATTACATATTTGGAATCAGCGCACTTAAAACATAAACATAACCAAAAATCAGCCAAATCCATCCAGGGGTTAAAAAGTTAGCTGGAGGTCCCTTTATGACCGACCGCAAGCACATTTTCCTGCCCAAAACAGTTCCATAGATTTGGGCTGTGAGGTCGGTCTATTTCAGGCTGAAAAAAGACTAAGTCCCATCGCCGAATGGGACTTAGTCTCTGCAGCTGTAAAACCAGTAGGGGAGAAGGTAGAGCTCAGCGGTGTTCGCGGAAATGTGTAGCCGATTTTAGTTCCATGAATTTGGCTACATACCGCTGACCTCGTCGAATGATCAAAGATGGCCGCCGCCACGTGTTCGGCAAACGAACAAAGACCTCCCAGCATTGTCAATTAAGCTGCGGTTAACCGCAGCTTCTGGGAGGTAAATTGACTGCACACTTCCACTTCTGGGTGGTCTGCCTGTGTGGTACTTGGTTCAGTAAGCCCCATTTACTGAACCAAGTGGGAATTAGCCAGGCAGGCACAAAGGGTTTGCACCAGGTCTGGGGACACAGGGGACACCGTCTTAAAGGGGCAGTGTCCCCAACAAGTCAGGGTGTGTCTGCTGTTGTCCGGTCTGTCTTGTGCCTGGAACTGCCCTCATTCGCTGGTAGTGCAGTGGGTGCCGCCAGGGCATTCTTGGCATTCTGCGATTTTCCTCCAAAAGTTTCTGTTGGCTGCTGCTGTGCTCTCCGACACCTCTGGAGCCTCGCCGGGGTAGTGCTGATCAGCTGTCATAATGCTGGGCTGCTTGCTGATGGTAGATATGTGGTTTCTGCCAGAAGAGGTTTGTAAGGTATAGAGGGGCAGGCTGATGTAACTTGTGCTCCAGCTTCCTCCAGAACATCTCAAAGTGTTTGTTTAATTTTGTTAGGATATCGTGTGCAGCATTGGCGAATCCCTCGACACTTGCTATGTCTGCCATCTTGGGTTAACTCTGTGTGCGTTCTCTGCCCATGTGGGGACATCCAATGCTTCAGCATGCTTGGGGTAGCCTCCTCTGGGTGAACAAGGATCACCCCCACTAGTCCAGGAAGGGGGGATAATGGGGCTTGCTCATGTTGCAGGTTGCTTCAGGATATCTCTGGGTCGGGGGAGTGGCCATCTCACCCAATCGATGCGTACCAGGCCGCACTCCCTGGCACGGTGCCAGTGGGTCTCAAGCGGGTTGCATAACACTCCACTGCAGGCCCTTTGGAACTGCTGTTTGTCTCGCCAGAAAAAGTCATAGCGCACTTGTATTGCCAAGGTTGTGTTTCTTGAGAAACACGACTCATTGCCATGATGGTTAGTCCCCACCCCCCGATTTAAAGATATTTTGAACTTTATATCCAAATATGTGAAAATGATATTCAATTTATTGTTACCTTTCCTTACAATCTTGTAGAATCAGGCTGTAGTGTTGTTAATCATATTATTACCAAACAAAGAAACCATCTGAATATCACCAAAAGAAGAGACCTTTGTTTGTTCCTTATGTAAATCGAACCAAATATCAAAAATATTTAGTGTCGCAGCATCAGCCTTAATGATCTCATTAATCTTCAGTTAAAAGTCATTTCAATAAACATTATTGTGTTCACATTTAGCTTTCTTTTTCTTCAATTTAAGCAGCTCGAGATGAGGAAATGTATTGTATTTTAATTATAGATGTCTAAACATGCATAAAGTAGAAATAAAAAGATAAATTTAAGAACATCTTTTTTTTATTATTTAAAAAACCCTCCTTTCTGAAATGGAGTTCCTGGTAATGCCTGTAAGCTCGAGATGAGGCAATGTATTGTATTTTAATTATAGATGTCTAAACATGTATAAAGTAGAAATAAAAAGATAAATGTAAGAACATCATTTTTATTTTTTATTTTTTATTTTTAAAACCCTCCTTTCTGAAATGGAGTTCCTGGTAATGCCTGTGGGCGGTAAGCACATTTTACCATCAACAAATATACATAAATAGGCGGTAGGTATTAAAAGGTTGACCCTGAGCTAGACAGTTGGTCTTGATTTATTTATTTTTAAAAACCCACCTCCGTGAGAAGCATTTGATTGATGAAATACCTGCACAGGCCAGTCACTGGTAATGACTAAATCCACAGTTATTTTTGGAATAATAAGTTATATATTTGAATATGACTGTGAAGAATCAAAAGTCAGAATGTAATTTTTGTTTTGTTTTTACCAGTCTAATCATGATTTAAACTGTGGATATGAAATGTAAAATATCCTTAATCTGTTGGATGTCCTTCCAACTCATGAAATCATCTAAAAATATATGTTCTAAAAGGTTATGGAAAAAACCAATAATTGCAATGTCTATAATTGCCAATAAGATGTTACTATGCCAACAAAAACCCATTACATTCATCACTGTAATCTTTCTGTGTGACACTTGGTATTTTGAAAATTAACATGATGGAAGCAATTATCAGTTGCAGTAATCGCTTGTGAAGTCCTGAAGATGTTCTGTAACTTGCAAGTTTGATGATTTAAAACAAATGTCTTAATTTTGCTCATCATATCTGAACTGTTGACAGCACCAACATAAATATACAAATTGAACACAAATTTGTTCTCCCAGACACCAAAATTGGTGTAGGGCATGCCATGTAAATTAAATTAATCACTGAATTGACATACACGTAGGCACATTCACTCACATATGGCACCATAGAAGGAATGACGGAACGCTTGCATGCTCATGTGTTTTTTCCCCAAAGATGTCTGTGCATGAATGAGCATTCAAAGCACCATGGGTCAATGGTGCACTGATCATAAAGTTGCAGGGAAGGTAACTGCTCATTTTTATTTACCTCTACTGAGGTGAGATAAATAGAAGTTACTTCCAGATAAATTACAGTTCTCCTTTAAACAATTGGTCGCATTGGTGAATTTTAATATGGAAAAATAAAATATGTATGCCACAAAGTCACAGTGTTCTTCCTCTTTTTTCTATGTGTGTGGTTAATCCACATTTTTTTGTTTACTACATCTCCAAAGACCTAATTTTGAAGTCTTACTAAAGTGTACTATATGTTGTGGATTTAAAGGACCACTATAGGCACCCAGACCACTTCAGCTTAATGAAAACTGAAACTGCTATGTTTATAGAAAAAAGCTGAAGTGGTCTGGGTGCCAGGTCCAGCCAGGGTTAATCCTTTTTTCTATAAACATAGCAGTTTCAGAGAAACTGCTATGTTTATATTAGGGTTAATCCAGCCTCTAGTGGCTGTCTCATTGACAGCCGCTACAGGCGCTTCCGCGATTCTCACTGTGATTTTCACAATGAGAAGACACCAGCGTCCATAGGAAAGCATTGAGAATGCTTTCCTATGGACTGGCTGAATGCGCGTGCGGCTCTTGCCGCGCATTCGCATTCAGCCGAGGAGGAGGAGAGCTCCCCGCCCGGCGCTGTAGAAAGAGGTACGTTTAACCCCTTCCTCACCCTAGAGCCCGACGGGAGGGGGAGTATGTTTTCCTGGCACTATAGTGGTCCTTTAACAGTACAATGGCAAAAATAAAAGTATAAAAAGAGGAGGAAGGTGTACGCCCTGTTAAGTTCGTTCTCCATTTCCACATTTTTTTGTTCTCCTCTCTTGCTATGCCTGCTCCCTTAAATGTCCCACACTGTTTTAACATGTACGGGCAACATAGGAAGCATAGACCTCAAATATCTAGGAAAATGAGATTACAAGAATGATGTAACATTCTTACACAGACTAAAAGTAAATAACATTTGTGTATGTGACTGTATATGGAATCTGTGTATAATAAATGTGCATAATGTGTGTATGAGGGTTTGTATACATTGTGTCTATGAGAGATTGTGAATTATATGCGTAGGAAAAGGTTGGTGGTTGGGTAGGTAAATTTGCCTGTATTGGTAGAAAAATTTAAGTGTTGGGTACGAAAAGCTATGTGTTTCTGAGTGGGTCAGTATGGGAAGGTGACAAAGTGAGTGAGTAGGTGTATGTCAACAGGTGGGTAAGATGTAATTGGGTTGGTGTTTCTATTGTAGCTTTGAGAATGTGTCTGGTTGGTAAATATTTACATTCAGTTGGGTGTATGTGACTAGGTTGAGGCTGCATGCAGTTGTATATGACTATGTGACTGGGTGTCGGTATCGAACAGGTTGGTAATATGAAACAGGGTGCATGAGAAGTTAATATAAATAAATTGGGGCAGATAAGAGAAATTTGTTTTTTTACTCCAAGCAGGTTGTTAACAAGCTGGTGGCTGGTTCCACAGGAGTTGTATACAGCCTAAATCTAGCTTTTAATGTGAAGACTTTGGATGCGCTGCACTTCATGCACCCCCTTAGCTCATCCTTGCAGGTTCATGCATGAACTGTCTCCAAAGAATAGGAGATACACTTTGTCAGGTTGTGCCTGGATAAAATAATACAAATAACAAATGCATAAATCATAAATACATAAAAAGAACTCAACTCATTGCTAACCTTCAGTTCAAAAAACAAAAAGATTCTCTTTAACCCCTTAAGGACCGAGGACGGTTCAGGACCGTCATCGGCATTTTTGCCTTGAGGACCGATGACGGTCCTGAACCGTCCAAACGGTCTGGGGCTACTTACCTGATCGCCGTCGTTCCCCCGGCGGCGATCAGTGTTCCTCCGGTTGTAGGGAGACTGCCTGCAGCCCAGACAGTCTCCCCACGGCAGATTAGGACCCCTGTGGCCATGTGATCGCTTAACACAGCGATCACATGGTCACAATAGGTGTCCATAAAGCTGCCTGCAGGGGGACTGTCTGTGCTGACAGGCAGTCTCCCTGCAACTGTAAAATCAGAAAAAAAATTAAAGTTAATGGTAATAAAAAAAATAATAATAATGATATATGTATAAATATGATATATAGACATATATTATATCTATATAATATATGTCTATATATCATATATATATAATGTCATACTAAGTGTATTTTTATATTAATATGTACTTATATTAATATAAAAATACACTTATAATTAAATTACACACGTATATATATAATATATATAATAACTATATAGATTGTATATATATATTATTATAAAATATAAATAATAAGTAATTTAAATTAAATAAAAAAATTTTAAAATAATAATAAAAAAATTTAAAAAAATTATATAGCTATATGAAATTTTATTCTAACTGTATTTTAAAATTAATATATATATATATATATTTATATCAAAATACACTTAGAATGAATTTGTATATATATCTATGTATATAAAAATAATAAGAAATATACATATGTCCATATACAAATTACATAAATAATTATATAAATATACACGTAGACTTCAAATATATAAATATGCATATATATTTAAATTCTACATGCGTATTTATGTAATATTTTTACATAATTAAGTAATTTTATTGATTGCAATTTGAGGGACCTGCCTGCCAACCCAGGCTGAAAGTCCAGAGAATTTAATTTGCTAGCACTGTATTTTACCCTGTAACGTTCTACGACACCCTAAAACCTGTACATGGGGGGTACTGTTTTACTCGGGAGACTTCGCTGAACACAAATATTAGTGATTCACAACAGTAAAACATATCACAGCGATGATATTGTCAGTGAAAGTTACTTTTTTTGCATTTTTCACACACAAACAGCACTTTTACTGATGATATAATTGTTGTGATACGTTTTCCAGTTTTTAAACTAATATTTGTGTTCAGCGATGTCTCCCGAGTAAAACAGTACCCCCCATGTACAGGTTTTATAGCATTTTTGAAAGTTACAAGGTCAAATATATGGGTCAAATATTTTTACATTGAAAATGGCCAGGTTGGTTACGTTGCCTTTGAGAGCGTATGGTAGCCCAGGAATGAGAATTACCCCATGATGGCATACCATTTGCAAAAGAAGACAACCCAAGGTATTGCAAATGGGGTATGTCCAGTCTTTTTTAGTAACCACTTGGTCACAAACACTGGCCAAAATTAGCGTTCAATTTAGTTTTTTTACTTTTTTCACACACAACAAATATGAATGCTTACTTTGGCCAGTGTTTTCGACTAAGTGGCTACTAAAAAAGACTGGACATACCCCATATTGAATACCCTGGGTTGTCTACTTTAAAAAAAATATGTACATGTGGGGTGTTATTCAGAGATTTATGACAGATAATAGTGTTACAATGTCACTATTGATAAATTTTAAAAATGTATGTTTTGAAACCGCAATATCCTACTTGTACCTATAGCCCTATAACATGCAAAAAAAAGCAAAAAAGCACGTAAACACTAGGTATTTTTAAACTCAGGACA